CCCCCCCCCCCAACAAAATGATCTGTTGTCAGACCATTGTTTCATCTAGCTGTTAGAAAAATGTTGCTAAACACAATGAAGTTTCAAGTAAACTGTTTAAAAAGCCACTTGGAAAGTGTGATCTTCTGATTGGGGTGTGGATGCTTTTGTTATTTCCTGCATTGGTTTGCCACAAGGTCCTGATGAAATCAGTGAATAATGCTTTGAAGATCTGACCTGGAAGATATTGCTTCCATAAGTGTTGATATAACTGTATAATTTGTGTGACCTTGAGTGAATGTCTAGAACAGACAAAGATTTAGTTTGTAGTGAATGGTATATGAAAAGAGATGTTAGAAATTTCCTCCTTTTTATTTGCTTTTCTTTAAAACTGTTCTCGATGAAGACTTGCTGGAGCAAATGGCTTCTTGTCCTGCACTATTTTGATTCTTGCTGGCACTTGGCTTCATGGATGTTGGCCCAGCAGCCGTAAGGCCATAAAACGTAGAAGCTGAAGTAAGCTATTCAACTTGGAGGATGCTCTGCCATTCAGTGGATGACCTGATAATCCTCAGCTCTACTTGCCTTTTCCCTAAACTTTTGATTCTCTTGCTGATTAAAATTCTGTATTATCTCAGCCTGGAATATACTTACCAAACCAACCTCTACAACGCTCTGAGGTAAATAAGTCCATAGATTCACTACCCTTAGATAAAATTCCTCCTCATTTCTGTCTTAAATGTGTGACCCCTCTGGTCCTAGACAGTCCCCACACGGGAAAACATCTCTGCATCTACCCTGTCAAGTGTCCGAAGTATCATGTATTTTTTCGAAAAAGTAGTCTCATTCTTCTAAGCTCCAATGAGTGCAGGCCCAACCAAATCAACCTCTCCTCGAAAGCCATTCTTATTGCATGAACACTAACTAGATTTAGATGCTTTTGGTGGCGAACCTTTCCAATGTTTACTTGAATAAAGATTGCATAAAGGATGAAAGTAATGACCTGGTAACTTATTTCATGTTGTGTCAATTGAGGAATAAATATTGACCAGGTTTTAACCCTCTCCATTCTGCTGCTTAGTAGTAGTAGTGGAATCTTCTGTGTTTTCCTAAGTGAGCAAACTGGGCCTTGGTTTAACAGCATGTTTGACAGATGACATGTCTGCCTTTGTAGCACATGCCCTCTATCATCTTTGATATTTGTGCTTGAGTCCTGGATGGGACTTAAACTCTCAATGTTCTGACTTGGAGATGAGTGCTGCAACCTGAGTCATCGTTGACCCACAGCATGATTCACTAGGTGGCAATTAAATGTGAGCCATAAATCTTACTTTTTCTTCGCATCTCCCTCCTAGTTTAGGAACCCAGAGCCCCACTTTAAGTTGTAGTTTTGCTGAACTGGCTGATATCAACACAGACTAAGAATTAAATGTTTTTGAACTGCATTGCTTAACTATGTTTGTGATTTTTTGTTTATTTTCATACAACCCTATTGGGGAGTTGGCATAGATATTCATACTGGGTTGTTCTATATTCTGCACTGTTCAATAGCTCACTGAAGAGTATTCTTTCAGTAACTGATCTGTAGTAATAGCAGCAGCTTGTGATTGAATTCTGTAATGAATGCATGTAAGAACATCATGCTATGCTGTATTGCTCTGTTGTTCTATGATATATTTCTATAATTTTGGGGGAATGAGTCGGCAGCTTGCTGTAAATACACGTTACTGGCAAGAAGCTTGCCAGATCTAATCTTGTGGTTGGCTTGCTGTATGATGTCACTAATAAAATATCCTGGAATGGATCCATTAGAAACAATAGATTTTTTTTTTAATGTATTTCCAGACCCTTGAGCTGATCTAGACTTAGCTAGGTTCCCCTGGACTAGACACTAACCAGGTGCTTGCCCAGCTCGTCACTTGGGTACTTGAGGTTGGTAGCACCATCTTGACTAGATAGTTGAAGGTGTTTGTAGCCTACTGCCTGATTGATTTCAGTGGAGACAGTCTGATCTCTAGGACAAATGCCTAGGGATGCTGTCATCAGAGCAACCTTGCAGTAAAAATATCAACCTAGAAGTCTTTGTTCTGGTTTAGAAAGAAATTGGTTTTAACAAGATGCATGTCCTGCCTGTTCTCTTCACTTTTTTTTTAAAGCAAGTGTGCTGAGTACCGCAACTATGAAATTCCGAAGATAGTCAATTGCTGTTTTTTTTATTGCAGTGTGACATTTATTCTGATTCTTGATCATGGGACCAGGTCCCATAGTGGGGGAGATGTATCTAACACTGTCCTTTACTGATTGTGCTCAATTATGCTTCAAGATCATTGTTTAGAAATTGAGACTGCAGTGCCTTATTTCTTGCAATTTTGAAGATAATTGCAGTGCTCCCTTTAGAAATTTCTTGATCCATATAATGTAGTTATTGACTCATTAGGAAACCTACAACATGAGGCACTTTTATTGTAAGTGGTGTGCCACAAGGATTTGTGCTGGGTCCACTGCTTTTTGTCATTTATATAAATGATTTATATGTGAAATTAGGAATGGTTAGTAAGGTTGCACATGACACAAATTGGTATGGTTGACAATGAAGCAGGTTGTGTCAAAGTACAATGGGACCTTGATCAGATGAGCCAATGGGCTGAGGAGTGGCAGATGGAGTTTAATTTAGATAAATGAGGTGCTGCATTTTGCTAAGGCAAACCAGGGCAGGACTAATGCAATTAACGTTAGGGGCCCTGGGGAGTGTTTCCAGACAGAGACCTAATGGTGCAGGTGCATAGTTCTTTGAAAGTGGAGTTGCAGGTTGACAGGGTGGTGAGAAGGTGCGAAGCATGTTTGGTCATTGCATTGAATATAGATGTTGGGATGTCATGTTGCAGGTGTACAGGCATTAAGGCCACTTTTAGAATACTGTGTACTGGGGCGGCACAGTGGCTCAGTGGTTAGCACTGCTGCCTTCACCAGGGACCCGGGTTCAGTTCCACCCTCGGGTGACCATGCAAACTCCACACAGACATTCTCCCCATGTCTGTGGGTTTCCTCCAGGTGCTGTGGTTTCCTCCCAAGATGTGCAGGGTAGGTAGATTGGCCATGCTAAATTGCACATAGTGCCCAGTGATGTTTAGGTTAGGTGGGTCAGGTAGGGGAATGGGTCTGGGTGGAATGCTCTTCAGAGGGGCGGTGTGGACTTGTTGGGCCCAATGACCTGTTTCCACACTGTAGGGATTCTATGATTCTGGTCGTCCTTTTGACAGAAGGATATTAAACTTGAAAAGATTACAAGGATGTTGCCGGGACGAGAGGGTTTGAGTTATAGGAGAGGCTGAATAGGCAGGGGCTTTATTCCCTGTAGTGTTTGAGGCCTGGGTGATCTTAGAGGCTTATAAAATCATGAGGGCTGTGGATAGGGCAA